TATTAAGTTGTCTGTTTCATTATGAAAAGACTCCACAATGTTAATTTCCTGAATTGGGGAAAAAAGGAAACATTTGAAATTCAAGTTTTAGGGAAACTACCAACATGTTTCATGATCTACGAATAACTTTTTCTACAAAACAAATTGCTTAAGTCCCTCTGTGACTATAACTGGAATAAAAGTCACTTTTCATTTATTTTGTCACATGATCATCTAAGAGAATTTCCTTAGGCATTTTTAAATATTTGCTCAAAAGTTATGTGGATTACTTTGAGAAGAACCTTGTTTGCATAGCTTACCTCCCTTGATCCTTAAATTTATACACAGTGAGAAATCTGCTATTCAGCATCTGAAGAACAATGATTGGGATTTTCAATTAGCAGTGGAAGAATACAGCCAGGAACATGCTACGGAGAAAAACCGATGTGAGGTGCTTTTCAATAAATACAAAGGTCAGGACTGTCTCCTAAAACCTTGTAAACTAACGACTTTTTATCTTTTTGACAGTTAACTTATTTAATCCTTGGTTATAATTCTTTTCTGTATATATATGCTCTGTTAATAAACAAAAATGTCTGGCTGAACTTGGTTTAAACTTTAAAATAACTCAGTTACAATCATGCTTATTTCTTGATCCCAAAAGACGCTGAGATGGAAAAGAATGAAGAATAAGCATACTTAGCACCTTCCTAATGGAAGCTTCTGTAGAAGGGTTTCTTCAAATTGAAGCTCAAGTAACAGACAACCTAAGTTGGATTGATCATATTAATATTTAAAACATTCGAGGCTACCATGACTTACTGCTTGCCTATTTATTTGGTTATGTTAGACTTTGAACATCAAAGAAGATTGACTATATCTGTTTGAGTCTAGCATGATTTGACTTGAACTTGCAGAATAATTAAAAGTTAAAGTTACATTGTTCTGTACAATCTGGCTTTATCCAGACTTATAGGCAACTTATGAAGCTGTCATGCACTATTAACTTTGTTATTTAATTGATCAATGAAATTTTGATGGGATATCAACTCCTTCATACTCACTTAAGGCTAGATGTCTTTTGTGGTTATATAGTTGGCATAACCTATGATAAGAATTGGGTTACCAGAATAACAAGAAAATAATGCGGAAGCGAAATTATAAAGATTAAAGACAGAAATTGAAAGATATGTGAAGTTTGAGAATAAAATCCCCAAATTTCAAGAAAAGTGCTTAGAACCCTAATTGATCATAGTATTCCAAATTAGCTGATTAAAACTAATTATGATACTACTAATGTCAATTCAAAAACTTAGGTCAATAGTGATCTAGACTGTTATTGATGCGTTTGTCAGGAAACAATATTACAGAATCAAGAATGATTAATATTTCTGAATTATTGTTTTAGTTGTTTTAGTCAAACATAACTTCATGAGTGGATTAGGATTCTTATTATTTTAGTTTTATAGGACTTTGTTATTTCTAATTTATTAGGACTCTTGCTATTGTAAACCTCTATTTAAGAGAGTTGACATTATTAATAAAATAAGTTGAATTTTATCAAGTTTCAGAGATTCGAAACTTTCTCAAACAAGGTCCCATGTCTGCAATTCCCTGAATGAATTGCAAATTTCAGCAATCATAGGCAAGTCAAGGAACAAGAACAGGGGCTTAGACCTGTCTATTGGACCTGACTTTTCAGTTAATCGTCCAACGACTCGATCCAGAACTAGGGACCATAACATAGACCTCTATTTCGAAGAAACTAGAGACAATAATTAGTGTAAGACTAATCACCTTCTTTAATTTACGAATAAGAACCAAAAATATCAAATTAAGTATGAATCTTACCTCTTAAGAATCGTTCTTATAAGGTTGTAAGATAAATCCATAGTCACCACACACAAAGGAGTAAAGAAGAGAAACTTGTCAAATAATATTAATTATATCCTTTCAAATAATAAAATCTACACCTATATATAGGGAAAACCTATCCCAATGTCATGACCCGATTTCTCAAGTCATGATGGCACCTACTATAACCCACCAGTAGGTAAGCCAACCCGTAACCCGGAACAACAAGTAATGGGTCTGAGGGTAGAAACTAAACAAGAGTAGGCAAATAACAATATAAACAGGCGGAAGCAAACCAAAAACATATATACAAATAAAGATCCCTCCCAGAACCTGGAAGTCACTAGTACAGAGCTACTAACAAAATGAGTACAAGTCCCAAAAGTGGACAACAGAGACTGGACTGTCTCGAAAGGTAAAAGACAAGTCTATATATACAGATGGAGACTGAAATAGTACAAAACGCCATGTGCTCACCCCCGTCTCCGGATAA